TAGCTTAAGTTAACTATAGTCAGTATGTTAGTTAGTTGTAACCATGGTTAGCTATGTTTAGTTACTTGTACAACTGTCAATTAGTTGGCTAGATGGTAATTATATACACTTGTATCAGCTTCATTTTTGACATAAGATTGAATGAGAAACTCTTCCAATTTACTCTTTCTCAGTTCGACTCTTCTCATCCTATCTCACAAATTCAACCAACACACAGATTTAACACTTAAAAAAAGCCAATTTTGGAGAGAAAAGAGTGTCCAATTATAATGACATTACGAATTTATTAATCAACGAGAATAAGCTTATGAAATGTTCCAAGAGTATGGTTAAGTGATTAACTCTGGAAATTTCGAGTTTAGTTTATCTGACATATGTGATTGTGGACTATAACAAGTTGTTCATCGATTTAGGCAAGCTACACAAAGCTTAATCACAATTATAATTTTACTTTTTTTGCAAACTAAGTACGAAAATTCTCAAGAAAACCTTTATAGTTGTTGCAAAAAGTTTTCTTCACAACTTTGAACCAAATGCTAAAGATAGGCCAACCACTTAGGCTTAAAAGTCAATTCAACAAACCGTCCTAATTCTCTTTGGTCATTTATGCAAGTAAACTAATAACCAGACTTTTCTTTTTGCAGGCATGAATCATTTTCCTAGCCATGTTCTTTACTTTTAAATTTCTAACTCTTTTATGGACGAAAGCTACTCTGTTATCTAATTGCGATGTTTATTTGCATAAGAAACAGACACGTGGCACCCAAAATGACTTCAAGAAAAGAAATGATTGAACAATTCCGCTCGTTCTAGAGCTTATATTATTACTATTATTTTTTTTAAAGGCGAAATCATATTTAAAAATTTACTAGACATCGCCTTGAGATGAGAAAATCATTTAAATCTGGAGTTGTCTATTCTTGATTCAACAAAAGAATCAATTAGTCTTTTTGAAGCAAGAGTTACATATTTAAAAACTACAAAAAAGATACATAAAAATCAAAGTCTTTAATTATATTATTTGTAAAATCCGTCAAATCTATCGATAACAGCCGCATTTGTTTCGATATTTTTTGGATCTTATAGTGAAATGATGTTATAAAGGACACATATTATAACATTACATAAAAAATAGGTTCCGAAACTATTATATAGGGTCATAGAGATGTTGTTATAGAGAGATACGATATTTTTTGGATCCTATAGTGAAATGATGTTATAGAGGACACATATTATAACATACATAAAAAATAGGTTCCGAAACTATTATATAGGGTCATAGAGATGTTGTTATAGAGAGATACGACTGTAGTAATTTTTGACAAATCCGTAATTTTCCTAGCAGTTGACAGTTATTACGAGGACAACTACATTTCGAATGATATCCAAATCTTTGGTCCCGAAGCCAAAATTCATTTTTGTGGTGTTTCTCATTTACAACAAGAAACTTAGTACTACTATACTAGGGGTCGTTTGATAAAGATGTATAGGAATGATAATGAATAGGTATTTCTTATCCACTATTTAGTTTGGTATATTAAAAATAATATGTATTGTATATTTTTCTTTTAAAAAGATTATTTGTTTACAAGCACACCTTTTGAAAAATATTGGAAAGGATTTGAAAAAAAATTTAAAAGTGTAATTCTATCTTTATATACGCTTATCCATGTATTAAAAACAATGGTATTGTTAATGTCATAGTTTGTTAGGTATAAAAATAGTACTGAATAGGGTGTATAACTAATACATAGGTTTAAAAGTACTACCAAACAAGAGATTAATAAAGCTAGTAGTATATACTCCCTCCGTTCCAATTTATATGAACATGTTTAACTGGGCACGAAGTTTAAGAAAAAATAAAAACTTTTGAAATTTGTGGTCATAAACAAGTCAAAAAGGGACCCAGAATATTTGTGTGGTTATAAAAGCTTCTCAATAAGGATAGAATTATAAGTTTAAGCTAAATTCTTACAAAATTTAGAAATGTGTCATTCTTTTTGGAACGGACCAAAAAGAAAATAGGTTCATATACACTGGAACAGAGGGAGTATTATCTTGGGAGAAATTCAAAAATAGCCAGATTTACAACTGATCGTTCAAAAATAGCCCAGTTTCAAAAGTAATCGAAATTTAGCCACTTTTTATGTAAAGATAAATCTGAGCGAAAAAACGGTTCAAAACCTGGAAAATACGCCAGTATATTATGCTGGAGTTCCAACATAAGTATACTTGAACTCCAACATATTATACTGGAGTTCCAGGATAAGTATGCCGGAACTCCAGCATAATATGATGGAGTTCCAACATAAGTACACTAGAACTCCAGCATAATATACTGGAGTTCCAGCAAGCATAATTGTCCAATATAATATACTGGAGTCAACAAAGTATAGTCGGTCTAACATAATATACTGGAGTTCATACAAAGGTGCACCGAACTCCAGTATATTATGCTGGATCGGTCTCTGTTGCAGCAAAATAGTGACCATTTTTCNGTATACTGGATTTCCAGCAAATATATCGGTCCAGCATAATATACTGGAGTTTGGAGCACCGGTGCTCCAGTCTCCAGTATATTATATTGGAGCCAACAAAGTATACCGGTCCAGCATAATATGTTGGGGTTCATACACAGGTGCACCAAACTCCAGTATATTATGCTGAACCGGTCTCTGTTGCAGCAAAATAGTGGCTATTTTTTATTGACTTGATAAACGCTGACTATTTTTGAATGATCAGTCCGAAAACTGGCTATATCATGCTATTTTTACTATTATTTTCCTTAATACATCTTACCAAACGCCCCCTAGTGTTTAATAAAAGAGCCACGTGTGAATTGTTAATATTCATATGTTGATGAATTCTACACGTTCATTCTAGGTGTTCAACGAATCAACGCTATCAAATCTCAACATCAATATTAACTAAGCGCCAACTCTACCAAAAAAAAATCCCTTTCTTCTGGCATTATTATCTTTCTTTATTTTCAAGGGTGACACATATACATAAGGAAAGAAAAAATGAAATGTAGAAATAATCATATATAGATTTTATCACGCGTTTCAGGATTTGCGTTTGAATGTTCCTTTTCTTTAAGATGAGCTATAACATGGGGTTCAATTAATATTGAGAATGATCAAAGAAAATGGGTTTTCTTGGAAGTTTGTTAGGTATTTTTGGCTTTGGAATTGGAATTTCAGTAGGTCTGGTTATTGGTTATTTCTTGTTCATATACTTTGAGCCCAGAGATGTTAAGGTAAATGCACCTGCTTTTATTTCAATGGAATGATAAAGTTATTTACTGTTTTCCTTTGATCATCTTATATAGGACAGCAATCATTTGATGAGATTTCAGTTACAATGACTTATGTTAATTATCCATTTCCTATGTTGGTTCTTATTTTCATGTTTCACTAGAAATTGTTAGCATAACTCAGTTACAATAGATGAACCTTGTGTTAGAGCTAAAACGCTTCAAAAATACTCTTAATATGGTGTGATATTGTCTGTTTTGAGCCAAGCTTGCACGTTTTTTCCCAAAAGTCTTCTCCATTAAGAGTATCCAGCACCTTGTAGGTAGAGTTCTTTTCTTTTCATGTGAGACTTTGTTCACACACATCCAACACGTTCGACAAACAATTCGCTATGTCTTCCACGCGCCAAAGTTGTTGGTGCAAAATCATTCATCCTTCTGCATAGGCAGAGGCAAATAATTCAGGGTTTAGAGTCCATGTTCAGAACGAGTGTTATCTTATTACTCCATATGTTTTCTTTTTTATTTCGTTTCATATGTATACATAGTTCGAACCCGCACTAAATCCGCCCCAGTCCTTCAGTATTATGTAAAGATGCAGATAGACATGTTGATATGTTGTATATGTTAGTATAAAATTGAAGAGATACAGCTTAAGCAAATTTCTGCTCCTTTAAAAGGTTTAACCAATTCAAACCAACTTATTGGAAAGTGAACTGAATTTCTTAAACACAAATCTCCAGGATTTACCAGAGAGTACACCATTTGATGAAATTGAGCCAAGCTTATTGGTTGATCTTCTACCTGAACTCCCATTATGGGTGATGAATCCGGACTACGAGCGGGTATGCACTCGCCTTCTTTTGAATTTGAATTTTTTTATCCTATTATCCCAAGTGAAGGGGAGCCTTGGCATAACTGGTAAAGTTGCTGCCATGTGACCAGGAGGTCAAGGGTTCAAGCTATGAAAACAGCCTCTTGTATAAATACCTGGTAAGACTGCGTACAAAAGACCCTTGTGGTCCGACCCTTTTCCGGACCCGCGCATAGCGGGAGCTTAGTGCGCCGGGCTGCCTTTTATCGTATTATCCCAAGTCAAATCTTATCTGGGTAATGATTTTATCCATATCGTTTTGTAGGTTGACTGGTTTAATGAATTTATAGCCAATATGTGGCCTTATCTTGACAAGGTAATCCAAATTCAACACTTGTTATTTCCAACATATCAGTCATATCATGTTTGGGATTCTTAATTCTTGTTTATGCCATGGAAATGGTCTGAAGTATAGCAGCATGCCTGAATAGTGCAGTCTGATTTTATTTCATCTACAGGCAATTTGTGGAATTATTAAAAGCACAACAAAACGTATTTTTGCAGAGTATATTGGCCAGTATCAAATAAAATCTATTGAGTTTGAACAATTTACTCTTGGAACAATTCCTCCTAGATTTCATGGTGAGCGCCAACTTTTATCAAACACATGAAATGTTGTGATAAACTCAAACACATGAAATGTTGTGATAAACTGCTATCTTTAAGATTAGAAGTTACGCGTGTTTCATTTGATCTCGACCAATTTGGCAGGTATTAAAGTATATCATTCCAATGAAAAGGAGCTAGTATTTGAGTTGGCAGTCAGATGGGCTGGAAATCCAAATATCGTTGTGGCATTGAAGTTATTATCTCTACAAATCTCAGTACAGGTAAGACTAGTTTCCTTTCTGCTCTTCTTACGAGAGATAGATTGACATAATCGTCAAATGAAAGTGTTATGCAATTTGCTTTTGTGAAAGTTATCTGATTTACATCATTTCTTTAGATTACTTTAGTAGAGCTTAGAAGGGGAGTCTTGGCGTAACTGGTAAAGTTGCTGCCATGTGACCAGAAGGTCACGGGTTCGAGCCGTGGAAGCAGCCTCTTGCAGAAATGTAGGGTAAGGCTGCGTACAATAGACCCTTATGGTCTGGCCCTTCCCCGGACCCCGTGCATAGCTGGAGCTTAGTGCACCGAGCTGCCCTTTTGCTTTAGTAGAGCTTAATGTTTATGGATGATACTTAGATACAACGCTATATATGTTGTATAAAGATCGTGAGAGATTATTGTTTTGTAGTAATGTGTTTCAAGAACATCGAAATAGAAACAGAGAGAATGAAGTTTTTTTGAAATTTTAGGTGATATTAATATGTAACTCTCACTGAGAAATTTTACTGAGGTTTGCTATATTATCTTCAGTTGATAGATTTTCAAATGGCTGCTACAGCAAGGGCAACACTGAAGCCTTTTGTCCCAACATTCCCATGCTTTTCAAGCATAATAGTATCGCTGACGAAGAAGGTAAGTAAGCACGCACAATATCTGTGGCTTACAAAGACTTTAACCCTGCTGATGAGTTGAAAATTGCACATGAATCTAGAAATAAACTCGGCATAATCTCTCTAACTTAGACTATCGATTGTATGTGTAGCCAGAGGTAGACTTTGGGCTAAAAGTACTTGGAGGAGATTTAATGGCAATCCCTGGTTTACACCATTTTGTTCAGGTAAGCTTCCTCTTGTTACCTAGTGTGCTTCTTAAGTACTAAACTCCATAGGCTAAGCTCGCATCGGATTTATAGATGAAAGGTCATAGGATAATTTAAATCAAATGTTCTTTCACTTGTTGCATTTTGTGGTAAAGTGAACTTTCACCAATTTGATCTGCAAATCCAAGGATTGAGTCGGAAGATTATAACTTTGACCTATGAAGAAAACCACGTGTGATAAGCAGAATTGTGTACATTACATCACAAGGAATTTGCTGAACAAATCTTCACCTTGGTGCTGACACAGAATAAATCTACATTTTGAGTTAATTATGTTACTCCAACAGCCTAAACCAATACAAATGAAATTAAATAGGCTGGAAATATTTGTTTACAACGAGATGTAAAATGCACTTTGAGTCTGTAATTTAATAATTAGACAGAAATAATTAGTACGGGACATTATAGAAAGGGCTCGAGTGCTTTCCTGGCAGCAGATTAGTTGTAGAAAGTGCACCTTGAAATCTTACGCATTGGTTTGGTTATGACTTAAAACAGTAGATAGAGCTACTGAACTACGAAAACTTATAAAAAAGAGTAGCATAACAAGATTCATCTGCTTAAGAGATATTGCTCTCAAATGAGTCTGTTAAACATATATTCCCGTTCTAAAAATTTAAATATCATGATACCATTGTATGTGAGTTTGGCTATTGTGGTTACATACACTCAAAAATACATAGATCTGAAAAAAGTTTTCCACTCTCCCACCCGTTCCATGTGTTTCTAGATTCAAACTTAATATAGAACAGACAGGAGTCTTTGGTACATTTCCCTCAGCTAATTTGAATGACAGTATTCATTGCGTGGCAGGAAACTATATGCAAGCAAGTCGCCAGGCTTTACCTCTGGCCACAAACACTTGATATACCAATTCTTGACAGTTCGATGTAAGTTGTAGACAAACAATAATTTACTTGAAATATCGACAATGGACTAATTCCTCACAGTCACTTGCACTTGTTGTGTCGTGATACTTGAGCATTACCGTTATAGTTTCAGCGAATACTTGAGCATTTCTTAACCTTCGGTTTTGTCAGAATGAAACATCTTCCTTCTTCTCTTCCTCTTTATATCTTTGTTTCTTTGTCCATGTGTTCTGAAAAAAGACAGGCGATTATTCATGTATTTTACCATTCCTTGTATACTTTAGTTTTCTACTGTTAAAATAAGCAACATAAATGCAAGGTCATCCAAAGGGATTTATAAAGGTTTTAGTCTACTCTAATCATTGATATATTTTGATAGTGTTTAGATTATTTTAAGTGGTATTAGAATCTATTTTGGGTAAAACTGATTTCAGCAACTGATTTCTCACTATTCCAGCTAAATTTATATTGTTTCTACCTATTCTAAAGCTCTAGACTTCAGCTATGAACTCACCTTATCGAACCATATACATTTCTCTCATAGTCGTCATCGAGTCACTAGCACTATTATCGACACACTCTTTAGTCTCCTGAACTTACTTTCTTTACTTCACACTTTTCTACTTGTTGAACCTACTCTTTATTCCGGTCCACTCTTCATCTCTTTGAGACGCATAGATTATGCCCGTCAAAAGGCAAAAGAGCACCTAAATTTACATGACTAGTCTTAGAAATATATGATGTCTCCTATATCAGATGTCCGCCATGTGACCAGGAGGTCACGAGTTTGAGCCGTGGAAACAGCCTCTTGCAGAAATGCAGGGTAAGGCTACGTAAAATAGACCCTTGTGGTCCGGTCCTTTCCCGCACCCCGCGCATAGCGGGAGCTTAGTGCATCGGGCTGCCCTTTTTCCCATATCAGATGTCTAAACACATCCAAAGTGGTTTAATGTTAAGGTATCGAGTTGGATGCTCAAATTCTTTCATATTTCCCAAAATACTAACATTAGCTTTTATATTTCGATAGAGGAGCTGTGAAGAAGCCTGTTGGAATACTGCATGTGAAGGTTCTGAGAGCACAGAAACTTCTGAACACGGATTTTTTGAGTAAATCAGATCCTTATGTTAAACTCAGCTTAGGAGGGGACAGGCTTCCGGCCAAGAAGACTACTGTAAAGATGAACACGCTAAATCCAGTGTGGAATGAGGATTTCAAATTGACCGTAAAAGATCCCGAGTCTCAAGTTCTGCAGCTGCATCTATATGACTGGGAAAAGGTCAGAATCTTGATATCTCATGGTATTGTGGCATCATCTTGAAGTTTAAAGCTATTTAATTGTTTTGTAAAAAAAAATTTGATGACTAGAATTCTCGTTTCCGATTTTCTGTGAGAAGGAATTATATTCTCTTTTCATTGTCTTGAGCCGAGGGTCTATCGGAAACAGCCTCTCTACCCCCCAGGGTTGGGGTAAGGTTTGCGTACACACTACCCTCCCCATACCCCACTTGTGGGATTGTACTGGCTGGTTGTTGCTGTTGTAGAGTATTTCGGTGGTTGTTTGCAGATAAATGCATGTCTCATGATCCACAGCAAATGCAAAAGACTAAGAATTTTTACTTTGTTTCACAGATTGGGGCACATGACAAGTTGGGAATGCAAGTAGTGCCACTGAAATTGCTCAATCCATATGAGAAGAAAGAACTAACGCTCGATTTGGTCCACAGCACAAACCCAAATGACCCTCAGAACAAGAAGGCACGAGGCCAGATTATGTTGGAAATGTCCTTCATTCCTTTCCAAGAAGATAGTAAAAAGTTTAGTGGACCTCTTAATATTCACGAACGGAAGGAGAGTATTTCAAGCCTTTCAGATGATAACTATTCCTTGCGGGGAGCAGGTTTGCTGTTGGTTACAGTTATTGGTGCTGAAGATGTAGAAGGGAAACACCATACAAATCCTTATGCAGTGGTAGTTCTTAGAGGAGAAAAAAAGAAAACAAAGGTGACTTTTACACTAATACTATATAGTTAACCATATAGGCGGATTCATAGTTTAAATTTGATGGCTCAACCATTAAGGTTTTTATTACTGAACCTATTGCACTTCTGAAATCATGGATTCAAAAATTAATATTTGTTGAAATTTTAGTGAGTTTTCACATATAAATGTATAAAAAAAGCAGCCCGGTGTACAAAGCAGCCCCGTTCACAGAAAGTCCAGGGAAGGGCCGCACCCCAAGGGGATGTGATGTAGGCAGCCTAACCTGATGCAAGCATCAGTGGCTGATCCCACGACTCGAACCTATGACCTATATAGGTCACACAGAGACACATATAAATGTATGTTTGTACAAAAAATACTAAGTTTAGTTGAACCCATGCTCTATTCGCCTATGGTTAACCACCTTATGGAGTCTGTTACCTTACCTTTTCTTACCAACTATTTGTAGGCAAGGAACAAAACCTGGAATCCAAAATGGGAAGAAGAATTCCAGTTTGTATTAGAAGAAGCTCCATTGAAGGACCTAATCCATATTGAAGTCAAGAGCAAGAAGAGAAGATTTGGTTTTCGGTCTAAGGTAAAAGAACCATCGTCACAAAACTCCTCAACTTTTCATTACTACACTCTTTGAAAAGAAAAACTGATTTTTGTTGCATGTAATTTCTGTAGGAGTTACTTGGCTATGTAGATATCCAACTGATGGATGTGATATACAACGGACGTATCAATGAGAAATACCATCTCATCAATTCTAAAGATGGAATTCTACATGTTGACATCAGATGGAAGGTGATCTAGAATTTTGATATTAAGTTCTTCGATCCTATCTTTGAACAATCTGCAATTGTTCTCCTAGCATTTGTTGTATTGCTTGCCTTTAATTATAGTATGAAGGCTTATGCATCAAAATCATAGAACAATGTCCATTCCTTTTTTAAAGCCGTGAAAGAAATGCATACAAACATCTGCGCGCGCGGATACATACACACATACACATGTTCATTAGTGCCTTTTGTCTTCTTCTATCAGGTGTAAGTATACTTATTTGTATATATTATATCAATCAATCACTACACCTCAAGTTTCAATTAGTTGAGGTCAACTATATGTATCCTCTGTATCAAATCTGCTCTAGTTAGGTTTATTTAATCAATACTAAATAGTTTGTTCTTTTAAGGTAGACCGGATATTCTTTATGACTTTATCCCTTCACTGGCATACAAGTTTCTAACCAAAATAAAGAATCTTGACAAGCGTCGAAACTTTAAAAAACTGCTACGTAGTCCTGATGCCAATTGGTTGACATCGTGTATATGGATTCTTGACTTTCTTTGTGCTATGTTTCTTAACTAAGAAGGTGTTTGGATTGGCTTTTAAGCTGGTCAAATTAACTTTTAAGCTCTTTTTAGTTTCTTTTTCCAGTGTTTGGCAAATTTAAAAAGTACTTAAAATAAGTTTCAAAAACTGCTTAAAACAAGCCAAAAGCAGGCAACCCCACCTTATTGCTTTTTGGCTTAAAAGCTATTTCTGCTGAAAAATCACCTTTTTTAAGTCAATCCAAACGAGCTCTAAATCCATATTGATTCTATTGTGTCTGTGTATATCTTATTCTTGTGTATATCTTTGGACTCTTTTGTGGAGTCCAGCCCCATATGTGAAAGAAGAAAAACTTCTTCTTTTTGTCAAGCCAACCAATTTAGAAAAGATTTGGGCGGCTGACTTTTGCAATAACACTGATGTCACTGCATACATCAATATAGGCATTCTTCAACTATAAATAGGTGTCTCTACTTTCATTTGTAGACACACCAAGAATCTCAGACAATACATCTGAGTGAGAGAGAGCAAGGTATTTCATAGACTATAAGAAAATAGTATGTGAAGAAAAATAGAGTGAGAGATATTGTAGTGAGGTGGAAAAAACAAAAAGAGTATTTTTTTTTTCTTTTGAGGGTATAGTGGTCTTAGGAGTATTTGTACTCGTTACTACACAGTGTAAAATTCCTTACTATAGTGATATCAGTTGCTCTTCTTGGCTATGGGTTTTCCCTTATTCAGAAGGGTTTCCACGTAAAATCTTGGTATCATTATTGCTGCATTTTTACTCCTGCTGATTTAACCATAACTTAGTGTTTCACGTTTATCACTAATACCGTGAATATTATTTTTACGGGGTTTATTCCCAACAAGTGGTATCAGAGTCAAGGTTCTGTCTGAGTATGCTTTGTGATTGCAGCATAGTCGGAACTTCCACATCAGAAAAAAATTACTTTGGTCTCCTAATAAATAGTATTTGTATTTGTAATAAACGATGGAAGCCAACACTAGTAGAATGGTTACTTTGAATGGCACAAATTATGCCATTTGGAAGGGCAAAATGGAAGATATGCTCTATGTCAAGAATTTTCATCAACCTGCTTTCACCACTATAAAGCCTGATAATAAATCAGATGAAGAGTGGAATTTGTTACACAGGCAGGTTTGTGGCTTTATTAGACAGTGGGTTGACGATAATGTTTTGAACCATATTTCTGAGGAGCACATGCTCGGACCCTATGGGAGCACCTTGAAAGTTTGTATGCTCGAAAAACTAGAAACAACAAGATGTTTCTGATAAAGCAGATGTTGGGTTTAAAATACCATGATGGTTCCGCGATGACAGATCATCTGAATAACTTTCAGGGGATCATGAACCAGTTATCTGCTATGAGCATTAAATTTGATGAAGAAATTCAAGGCCTATTTCTACTTGGTTCCCTACAAGATTCTTGGGAAATTCTTAGAACTTCATTATCAAATTCTGCTCCGGATGGTGTGATCTCTATGGATCTTGCCAAGAGCAGCCTTTTAAATGAAGAGATGAGAAGAAAATCTCAGGGTTCCTCCTCATCAGATGTCTTGGTGACTGANTGTATGCTCGAAAAACTAGAAACAACAAGATGTTTCTGATAAAGCAGATGTTGGGTTTAAAATACCATGATGGTTCCGCGATGACAGATCATCTGAATAACTTTCAGGGGATCATGAACCAGTTATCTGCTATGAGCATTAAATTTGATGAAGAAATTCAAGGCCTATTTCTACTTGGTTCCCTACAAGATTCTTGGGAAATTCTTAGAACTTCATTATCAAATTCTGCTCCGGATGGTGTGATCTCTATGGATCTTGCCAAGAGCAGCCTTTTAAATGAAAAGATGAGAAGAAAATCTCAGTGTTCCTCCTCATCAGATGTCTTGGTGATTGACTCTAGGGGGAGAAGCAAGAATCGAGGTTCTCAAAATAGAGAACATAATAGAAGCAAATCCAGAAGCAGACTTAAAGATATTGAGTGTTATCATTGCGGGAAGAAAGGACACACAAAGAAGTTCTACCGGATTTTGAAAAAGGAGAATAGAGACAAGGAAGAACAGAAAGAAGATGGCAATCGTGTGGCCACCGTCACTACAGAAGATCTTGTTACCGTCCTTGATGCGAATTTGATAAATATTGCTTTTGTGAGTCAAGCTGGGTTGTGGACAGTGGTACCCCATCTCATGTGACATCAAGGAAGGAATTTTTCTCATCCTATACTCAGGGTGACTTTGAAACTTTGAGTATGGGTAATGAGACTGTATCTAGGGTGGCTGGTGTTGGAATGATTGTCGAGCCCCCTTTTTCCTCCCTCCTAGCGGGGAAGGTCCGGGTTTCGACATTCATGGGGGTGTAATGACTCATTTCCTTTTGAGGAATTGGGTATTTGAAGAGTCGTCATCTAACGGATTACGGTGTGTTAGGGCACCTAAAGTGATTAACTCTTGGATTGGTTTGCATTACCAGAGATTAGGATAAGGGCTCGAAGTAACCTCGAGGGGAAGGTGTTAGGCACCCCTTTTGGTCCACAATTGTGGGTCCCGACCGAACTTGTATTCACAAATTAGTCCATATAAAATAACAGTTGAATCAAATAGGTGGCAAGTAAAGCACGTTGGATAACTCAAGTAATACGATAAAGATTTAAACAAATTGTAAAACAAAGGTTTTAAATAGTAAAAGGAATTTGGTAAAGGAAGAGTCCTAGGTTGGTTAGCCTATAGGATCACCTCATACAATGTCTGGTAAACACTCCTCGACGAGGGGCTACACGTGACATTAGCGCGTAGTCATCATATCCCATATCTACCCTTCCCATCCCCTTAGTGGTCATGCAAAGCGAGTGTTTGGTTAGTGATCTCTATTGCGTGCTGTTACCTGTCCCTTCTTAATGGTCCCGGAGGGATTTAAGACCCCTACTTATAGGTAATTCTAGACATACCCCTAAGGTTTTAAAGGCAAAAATTCTAAGGCGACCGGCAAAACAGTTAGGACTTTAGCACATAAGATAAAGGGGAGCAATTAGAGGCTCAAAGTTTCCTCCTCAAACAAGGCATACAAACAGCACGACTTAAACACAGTTAAGGGCTTCATTAAACAACATCCTAAGGCAGGATATCTAGGTGAATATAAGATAATTATTTTTATCAACTCAGAAGTAATGACCTTGGCAGTTGCCTATTGGTTTTAAAAAACCTGCTTGGATCAGAAAACATTAAGAAATAGGAACAGTTTCAGAGATGCGGTTTTGGAAACGCCCTAAAGGCTTGCCTATACGTGGAGTACTGATGGCTACATTTATAGTGAAACAAAACAGGTTTTGAAACGGACTTCTTTAATACCTATAGGCATGCTGTTTAATGATAGATTGAGGCAGTTTAAAAGAACTTGTTTCAGAAATATAAAGTACGTAATTAAACCAATCAGAAGTGAACTAAGCGTGGATTAAGTTGAATTACTTAGACTAGTTTAGATTGACAGGCAGAATTTCGAATAGGGTTCCCTATAGGCATGATATCTAACTTCGTTAATCTGATTTTAAGACATGCAGACATGAAAACATATATAAACACTTGCCATAACAGAATCTGGATTAGGTCTTATAGGCATGCCATCTATTAGTTAAGCCGATTTTAAGACATTGAAGGCATGATTATTTGGAACCTATAGGCATGGTTTCTAGCATGGTGAGATGACAAAATGTAAAGCCCTATAAGCATGATTTCTACTTGATAAAGCAATCAGATTAAATGTAAAGTCCTATGAACATGATTTCTACCCGCATTACCCCATAAAACATGTATCTACCCCATCCCTTTCACTAAATACCCCAATATTTATTTACAAGTTATTACAGACCAATGAATGAATTGCATAAGTAAATAAGAAAACAAGAAGCTATTCTATAGGGAGCCTTCGATTAGGCCCATATTTCCCAAAGCCTCCAATGACCTCAAATGCCTCAGTTCCATAGACAATGTCAGAGTCTAGGTGCATCAAAGATCCCTAAGGATCTTAAGGATCCCGGGCAGTGCTTACACCTAGACTTAGTAACCAAAAATTGAACAAGTGCAGTGTGAAAAGGCCAGCCTCAGTATGCTAGAGTTCAGAGGGTTCTCAAGAGGTTCCCAAGGCAGTACACATACTGGAGGGGGCAGAACTTAATGACTAAGAGTAGAGTGAAAGTGATTTTAGTGAAAAACTGTATAAAAAAAGGCATGTTTGAAAGTAATTTAGTAAAACTTAGAGACTGTTTGAAAAGAGATTGAAGAAATGAACAGAAGTCCAAACATAACACCTTAGGACAGGTTCATACACAGCCAGGAGTCACAGCACCAAGGCAGGTTCAGTTGTCACAAACAGGGGTTAAGGGGTTTGAGAATACATGGAACACATGGTGGTAAACACATAGAGATAATTGGTGCAGACATGTTCAGAAACAACACAGAGGGGTAACATGTTGATCTAAATGAAGGGGGAGTACATAATAATGTAAACATCAATTACAAGTTTCACAATAAAATCACAAATAGAAGCAAACTAGAAACAGGATGAACTGAAGCAATAAGAAAATCATATTGTTGTTGGAACTTTGAATTGAAATTTAAACATACCAGTAAAGAGGATAGTAAGAAAAGTGAAAGAACAGTAGGACACAATGGTTAGCCTTGGCTTGCAGCCGGCTAACTTAGAGCAGTAGCAAGAAGCACAAAAGAGAGCAAAAAGTTTTTAAGTGTGAAAGATAGTTTTTGAACC